AGTAAGTTATAATCACTCAATAGAACCCTATATTAATGTAAGTTATCACTGATGTATTTCTGAAGGTTTGTACTAAATAACAATTAGTTTTTACTAAGTGAAAGATTTTAACAAAACGATAGCAATATTTAAGCCAAATGAACTGAATTGCTAAAATAAGCTTTTAGGCTAAATCATATTACTGGTTGTAGCCTACAAGGAAGGACTTTGTCTGTTGCTCAACTTATTTTCCCCGTAGAAGCCTGAAGAATTTCCCGTCCTCCCTCAACGACTCGCGGGTCAGATCACATGTTTCAAGCGACCCTATTATCTACCTACCAGACCCCCGGGTCAGTTTGAATGATCCAAAACTACCCTCTGACCGCGGATCAGTCTGTATGCAGCCAGGGTTTCAGCTCTCTGGATTGGAACGTCACGAAGAACGAACGAATCTTTGCGGAAGGTATAACTACTCACTCACCCCTACCCCAGCACTGCAAATAACCGTATCCGTAAGTTTTAGTTGGGCTAGCGACCTGTCCGCGAGCACAGAAGTTTTGGCCGAACTGTATGTTTAGAGTATGTCATTAAAATGTTATAAAATCTCTACAACTTAAGCTATATGCCATTTTGTGCTGTTTTTGTTAAATATATGTAAATACAATCTTGCCGATTTATTTGTAACTATTTATTTTCCACTAAGGCTACTTAAATGAGAGATTTTCAATTATATAAAACATAAGTAGGAGCTGAAAAAAGGTATTATACTTAAAACTATTTGTATATTGTCACCTAAAAATATGTTGCCTGTTAAGGCAGCCACAGTTACAATATTTACTGCTTTACTGTTTTTCGATTAAAAGGTACTCACTATCAAAATGCTATATACTAATACTACCACCATTGAATATACTGTATAACACTATGACTATATTCAATATTGAATACAACACTATATTGGATATAAAACGCTAAATAGTGTTATATATTCAATGCTAATTAATTCGTAATGATTGTCATTCGAAAGTCTTTGGAAAATTAGCCTACAAGAAAACATATGATTTGGTAAAATAAAACAAGTTTTACTCGCACTGACGTCACTATGCACACACCTTCTTTCATACGCCTTGCATTTTACCCAACATTGCCTTCTTGAGTTGATCGCAACAGAGCTAAGATGATAATTGTTGATTGTACAAAAATTGAATGTCAGGTGATTAAAATGTTGACTATACAAGGGTTATGTTACCAACTGATTATGCTGATTGTTTAATTCACACAAAGTGACTGTTATTATACTAAAATCGTATGCTAATAACTGATTACCAGATGGTAAAAAATATGTGAAAAATAAAGAGCTAACGTGTTGATTCTGGTAAAGGTGACAAATTGTTATTGTTGATTGTCAGGGGATTCAATAGATTTAAACTATTGTTAGTATTATATGTTTTATGGTATTATCATTTTCAAGGTGACTTACACATGGTGACAACTAACTTCCAGATTCAAATGTTGGTTATGACAGAAATAAGATTTGTTAGATTCGAATGGTTGTTGGTGGTAAAACTACTAATAAATCGAAAACTTATTGACAAATGATCATGTAGATTTTCAGATGTTAATCGTTCCTATAAAGATGCCTAAAATAGTGTGATATTTAAAATTATACATTCAACTACCAGAAAACAGACGACTTAGGCCACCAATGAATTTGAATAATATGCTCAACAGAAATAAACTTATCCAAACATTTTCCTTTTTTAAATACTCTTTGATTTCCTAGCCTTTTAAAGTCTTGCCATCAATATCTAACAGCCTAATCTGATCAACCTATCCAACACCATCCTGCATATCATTTACTTAAACCGATAAGTGGCTTAGTCTTAACATCGGTCACCTATACTCTTCTAGGACGTTTCTATCCGGGATACCGGAGCGTATCATAGTGTTCGGACGGCGTTAATCCATTGAATGATGCTGCTCTTGCCCCGGTAAATGCAGTGTACTTGACTTTCCTTAGACGGTCGTGCCGCTGTATGTGTATTGTGTATGTGTGTGTGTGTGTGAGTGAAGGTATGCGGAGACGGAGGACCGGTGAGACGAGTTCTTAGTGGCAACACTGCGCCGCAACGCCGCCTCCACGACCGGCTTCCGTATCCGCCACCTGGCTACCAGTGTTGCCAATCGTCCGGTAATTACAGAAGTTTAGAAAATGCAGGTGTGAATATTGTGGTTTGGATAAATAAAAGAAAGTGTGGCGTTGATCAAGTGATACTCAGTTTACTTGTTCTAAAACCCAATTGATAGGTCACTTAACAATCCAATTGTTTAAAACATTGATACACTCTTGAACACCATAGCCCGCAGGTAAGCAAATTTAAAAACAGTACTACCAGAAGAATTCCTGGATGTGCATTTCAGCCTAAGAAGTAAGATGCCTTGTGTAGATTTGCTACTGACCAATACTAGCTGTTTCTTAAGCTACCCATTTACTAAAATTGCCAATAATCAAGAACAGCTGTACCGCCGGACCCAGTTTCAAAGGCCGTGCATTAATTGCGCCAAAGAGTTCCTTAATTGCGCCAAGCCCTCAAAGGGTCCCAAAAAATGTTACTTAGTTGCGCCAAGCAAAAGCGAGGTAGGGGTGATTTGCCGGCAGAAGTAATGTCCTTGTTTACGTGTCATCCTAACCTAACATAACCTGCTCAATTATACAGTCAAAAAGAGCCGCCATTAGGCTTGGATAAGGAACGTATCAAAGGTATCGCGTGGCTCTCTGGAGTAGTTGATGCAATTTAGGAATACCCGACTTCCTGACTCAGGTCAGTTGGCGCAATTAATGCTCACCCTTCGAACCATTAAAGTTCTGATCTTAAGCTTTGATCTTAACAAATATCTGCAATTTTTTGTATGGTCGATTTGTCTAAACTGTTATGTACGATTATTTTCATAGTTTAATGCAATCTTGTACTCCATAGTCTGTTTGATGGAACTTGTCTTTTTACCTTCATCTACTTGGGATAGGCCCGGACCTTAAAAACCAATGGCAAGTCCTTAAAGACCTTAAAAACCAATGGTAGACGCGGCCAGGAGACACGTTCAATCATACGGACTTAAGGTAATCATAAGGTATCTCCATTGGTATGTTATCCCAATGGCAATATACACGTGTTTTACTTATATGCGTTGATGATACATTACTTTTGTAACGTCGATAATTGCGACACATGCGAGTTATTCTCCGATAGTTTGGGCGGGCATTAATTACGCCAAATGACCTGAGGTAGTCGGGTGGGGGTATTCCTGAATTGCGCCAACTACTCCAGGGAGCCACCAATACCTTTGATATGTTCCTTAACGAAGCCAAGTGGCGGCCCTCTTTGACTGTATAATTGAGTAGGTTAGGTTAGGTTAGAACGAAAACAAGGACATTACTTCTGCCGGCAACTCACCCCTACCAGGCCTGGGCTTGGTGCAACTAAGTAGAATTTTCGAGACCGTTTTAGAGATTGGCGCAATTAATGCACGGTCATTGCAACACGTGAGTTATTCTCCGATAGTTCAACGTACAAAGTTACCCAACTCATGTGGATGCATTCTATTCCTACTGCGCCATGATTGCTGTTTCATAGGCTGACATATCGAGCGAACAATGGCGATAGTGTTGTAACGATATTACTTTGAACTTATTTAAGGCGAGGGAAACAAAGAAACCCGTGGTCAAGGTTGGTGTGACGTCATACTAAGGTGGTTTTTATAGAATGTTGTAAACGCGAATAATGTAGATCGTCATGGAAGAGGCTTAATGGTTTTGATACAGTTGATGATGGTAGAATTTTGTTTTTCAAATTTCAACAAAGGTGTATATTTTCCACCCGATTCGAAGAAAGTATTGTTATCGTAAAATTGTTTCGAGTTTGATTTTTGAGTGGAAATATTCGTTTAAAAAAAATATCTTTTTTTCTGAACCCAAAAGTGGATTTCAAAGTGATGTCTGTGTGTGTGTGTACAGACAAGAGACAAACGTGTGGTTCGATTTTGTTGCAATTTGCTATGTATGATATTTCCATTAGTTTTTATATTTTTTTTATTTAAATTTTAATGGTGATTTACATTACAGAACCCATAAAATAACAGGAAAATTTGATTTTCACAAAATCGGTCAAAACGAGTTTAATTAAAATTTAGTTATAGTCCTCACAACTTTCAACAAAATGGTACTGTACAACAACCAATGCTGCTCAGAATATGGTAAAAAGTTATTGAAACTTTGGTTGCTTCCCCCAAAAAATATCATGGGTACTCCCACCGTTTAGCTATATAGGGTTTTGACAAACTAATGGGAGAAAGTATGTGTCTGATTGCTGAAATAGTTTATTTGAAAAGGGAAGCTTTGTATTAACTGCATGTGAAACAATGAGTGTAAAGGGGTTTTGTGGAGAAACGTACGAAAGAACAACAAATATAGGTTCGCACTTGAATCGTAACTTTCGATTCTCAGAATGTTATTGAATTTAGATGGTTTCAAATTGGACCCAGAATTAATTTATTGGACTCCTAATGCTGATACAAAACACTGTTTAAATTATACACTTGGCATGACTGTTATCCTTTCTCAAACAGTTAGAGAGCGTTTATTTCAACTCAGACCCAAGAAGTTCCTCAAGCACAGTTGAAGAAGTAAACACATGACATCATTCGTTCTAAGATAAGAAAATTCCAGTTGTCTGTGAGTCTACACTCATGCACACTCATACTTCACTTGACTTCGTATTTATCAATGCGTTGTAACAGCCTACAATCTAATGTTATGGAAAACATAATTGTTTTTAATTTCTGAGAGTGAAAATAAGTGTTCTTGAAATATGAACACTGCCTTCCTCTCCTATTTGTTAAGTTTTTCAGTCGTTTAACCCCTATTCTAAACCGACCTTGGGAAATATCCATTAAAAATGTCATTTTTAATTCATTTTGTGATTACCTACATTTATGTTTCTAAACACCATTTTTTTTTGTTCCAGAGCAGAAGTGGACCCAGTAGATGGCTACAAGTAAGTTGTCACCAAATCTTGTTACAGACTAGAGTTTGTACAAAAATAAATAATTAAATAAATAGGTATAAGAAACAGGAATTCACTGTAAAGTTCTACGTTATAGTTAGTATAAGTTTGTTTAACAGTACCTTTTTAATATACAATTTGTCCCTTCTTGTTCCTTTAAATCCCAACATGATTTCAAAACAAAGTTTGTTTACCTTAAAAACGTAAACAAAAAAATGCTGTACCACATCTGTGTATTCACACATTGAACTTATTTTTCGACAGAATTATAGCAAAGCTTGTTGTAAGCCTAAATCAATGTTTACAACAACTAAGATGCAAAATGTACTAATACAATAAATACACACAATCCAACTCAGTTTATACGACTTTTTCTATGCTTCAATACTCTTCAAGTTATGCATCTTCAAATCGCCAGAAAGGATGAATGCTAGATTTTGATGATTTCTAATATTTATATATTTTTCTGTCGTTTCTACTGATTCCCTGTGTAATACAGTAAAAAACAGTTACACTAGTGAGGTTTTTTTGTAATTTGTAATAATACAGTAAATACACAGTAGGCCTATAGTACGGACCATAGTGCTTCGAGAATTTGTCTAAGGACCTTTGATATAAATCTTTGGAAAGTATTTTGTGTTACTATAGCTTAATTCCTATCTACATGTGTTGGAGGGACGTTTCATAAATGAGACAGATTCAAGATTAATTTTTGGACTACAAAAACCAAGTCTGATTTGCTATTTACAGTCGAAGATTATTTTTGAGTTTAGAACTTTTTGAGTATCTTGTTCAAAATATGACATTGATCAAAATATATTCCTAAAATATTTTAACGTCAGCTGTCTGAGAAATAAATGTTGATATTATTTTTGTTTCTTGGGAGGAGGCAACAGACTTCACCGTTAGCATTTCATCTGTGTCATTCAATATTCTTCTTAATGCTTTACGATTTTTCAAGTTATGCAGGCCTGATGTCGGGGGACTGAGCCATAACAGCTGGTTTTTCTGCCAACGATTCTTCAGTAACTTAAAACTCGTAACCTTTTTAGCATATCCAGCTCAACACACGACTCCTTATGACTACACCAAAGTTGAATAATTTGGAGTTTTGAAATTCCAAGCGTTTTGTTTGGTATAACGTTTTAATATAAAGTGTATAAGTTATAGTATAAAAAATGCATATTCTGTAGGGGTTGCAATTCCTGTGTTTTCAAAATTTACGATTTTTACCATTTTGTATTTATTGTAGTAGCCTTTGTCCTTTGCTAAGGAAAACATTATGTTAATGTGTTTGGTTTTTGTTATAAACGTTTGTGTCATTCAAATATGACTAATACAACTCATCTAATTTTCTAATTTTATAATTGCTCATCTAATTTTATATTTGCAGGCGTTTTAAAACACTAATACCATTTGATAATTTGATAAATTTGATAATTTTAAGACTAAATGTTCATGTTTCTTTGAGCTATTATGGTCAATAGCTCAAATATCCACAGTAATATAATCAAACTTATACCCCCCCTCTGAAATAGACTCATTTAGTCCTTCTAAACTTAACTTGCTACACATTTTAGTAATTTAAAACAGTGATCATAAACTTTAAAGTGACAAGTGACACATCAATATAAATAATTGGTTGAGTAGGACGGGCGAAAAAGGACATTACACAGTAAACCCTTATTGCATTAGGTATGTCGATGTATACACTTTGTTAATTTACTGTATGAATGAATACAAAATCCAACCCAAAAACGTAGGAATTTCCTCTATATTCGTACAACCAGGACAGGAGAGCCAACATCAGCTGATTCGTCTTACCTCCATTTCCCCGGGATTAGAGTGCTATTCCACCTGAGGCAAGAACTAAATCTATCATTACTCAAAATCCGACGTATTTCTGCGGCGTACCACGTAATTATAAAAATTTAATATCGAGAGCTGAAGAACTTCTGAGAAAGCCTCTCAGTAACTACGTCAGTGCTCACGTTGTCAAAACCTGTGCGTGTATTTTCATCTTATCGTAATTTGTGTAGATGAATCGTGAAATTGCTCGCCTAACAATCAAAAGGTCACCTGTTCGATCCGATCCTGAAAAAATCAGTTTCTTTTTGATGGTTTGAAATTGGACCCAGCTGTTCCTGATAATTGGGCTTAAATAAATTATCCTAGCTAATGAAACAGCTGATCTTAGTCAGTAACAAAACTACACAGATCATCTAAAACCATTCTACACTCATCCTTCACTCATATTTGGGTTAAAATACGCACATGTGGCGTCCCCATCTCAATTGATAATGATAATTTGTTAACCTCCTTCCTTTTTGTGACCTGGTTTTTTTACATCGAAACCTTAGAAAACGTGTCTTTTCTTATATTTTTATCTTATAGTACGGTTTAAAGATTTTCACGTATGTTTTAACCGAAACCGTGTAGATTTTCCCCTGATTACCTAGGCTCTATATTTCTATGTTTCCAGAACAGTAATTCAACCGTTTACTACTCTTTGTTCCTATGTTTGTGATAAGAGTGTTACGTCAGGTATACCTCGACCTAGCTGTACTTTGTACATAGTTGTGCACAGTCTAACAATACTTTGCTACGCCAAGCACGATTCTTAGTAGTCTACTTTAGAAAAACTGACGTAGTTTGAATTTTTACAAATAATTAACTAAATTATTGAACCACAACTTAAAAGTCTGCTATCTAGGTGGCAATTCAGTGGTTCTTCTGTGGTGAAAGAGGTGGTGTCATACCGTATAAATCGATTTAAATGGTGAGGTGAACAATCTGTGTTGGATCAGCTATAGCTAGTGTGTTTTACTCAAGGAGAAAACAGTTACAGTAAATAAACTACTCATAGCATGCTGTCATTTTCTATTTCCTCTCTAAGTTTTTCACACTATAAAAGTTTATGTGGACATGAAATATGTCACAGTTAGCAATAAAACAACCCTCTTTTGAATCAAAGGTTGTATAGGATGGAAACCCGTATTTATTTCACAGCAACACAAATCATTTTTAATGAATTTTACTTGATTATTTATTCTAAGACTGGCTCTAACTTAAACATAAAATTGAGTGTGTACTTGACGGTAGATGAATTGTTAAGCCACCGTAGGTTAAAAGTTAATTTAAGAAATTCTTGGTTATTTTACCTCTCAAGACTCATGGGCTTTGAAAATTACCATTCATTTAAGCCCGAGAATCAGGGACGGATGAGCCCAGTTGCCAACAATCAAAAAGTTTTTGACTTTTCACAAAACGGACCCGACAACCTTTAGATTGTCAAGCGAGCACTATACCCTCAATTCTATAGGTCGGCCGCTTAGAAAACGACCTCCTCCAGCATTGGTTTAGCATTAGCGCGCAGGTCGTTTTCTAAGCGGCCGGACTATAATACAATTTTCCTATTGCATTCCTTCTTCAGACCTCAAGGAGTTGGTTTCGTACATCTTGAGGTTTAAAACGCTGAAGAGACAATTTGGTGGAAACTCGTTTGCACATCGAGCGGTTATTATTCCCCTATATTATATTTCCGAGTTTTCAACGGTTAAACAGCTCGCATCACAGTAATCGCCTCTTCTCCGTCACACACATAGCACGTGTCCCGCTATTGATCCAGGTGAACTCTTGAACCCGGAGGAATTTCCGAAGAGTGGGTGGCGTAAGAGACGGCGGATTGCGACATCGTTGTAAATTGTAATCCCAAGTTTCGGAAACGACCCAAAATCCCTATTTCGGGCGAGAACGGAGGCGTGGCGGCGGGGACATTTTGAAACCTGCTCTGGGATGATCGCGGCAAGAATGCGGTCCAGTCGAGCCGGGGAAATTAAAAGATGACCTCCGCGGACTCGGCTCGTCTCGCAGACATTACGTTTATCGCGGATCTGGTCGGACCACCTTGTAAATTGAAAAGGTTTTTGTATGATGTATGCATATTTTGGCAATATTTAATTGCCTGGACTGGTTTAACACTGATACGGGACTGGTTGGAACACTACACTGCTTTTTGACGATGAAAAGTGTTTTCCTTTTATGAGTGGTTACGCAACATTCGAAACATTGACCGCCACGAGATTTCTGATGGGATTGACCTGCAGGGTGTCTTTGCGGGAATTCTTTCATTGGTTTATGACTCGTCTGATTTTATTCCAACCCGTCTACACATCATTTAAAAGATATTTGTAAAATTATTCCAATAAAGTAACTTTGGATGGATACCTGAGTGAATCCCCCATTGATTAGCTTATCCTGTGGCATATAACTCAACGATATCAAAGGTGCAAAAACTAGGTTAGAGGAAGCCGCGAGGTCATTTATTTCCAAAGCACCTCTTTGAAAAATGATCGGGCGTAAACAATTTGGGATTAATCGGTCCATCGATTGTAGATAGGCCTTCATTGTCGGCCATGCTGGTGACGTCACTAAACGGGTTCTCAAGGTGATTAACCGTTCCTAGTTCTGGGGCTTCCATAGGAACGGGTGAAAACCAAAATGCGTTGCACCTTGACTTCTGCCACTACCCACTGGATCCTCGCCCACTGCGTCCGGTCGGGAATATTTTCAAGATGGCGTTAGATGCATCGCATTTTCATTCTGTTTGAGACAAAGTACGCCCACAGACAATCTGGGGCGGGTTCTAGCGCGGTTCAGCATCATGCGTGCGCTAGACACTAGACAAAGATTGACTCTAACGGGGTCAGTAGGTAATTGCCCAATTATCAATGGAATCGAACGACCAGATTATCGTCACTAGGTGAAGGCCTTCTTTGTATTTAACACACTTAGGGACATTCAATATTGGTCATCATAATTTTATAGCTCAAAAGGTCCAAAATACCACCCAGTTGCTCATGTACCTCATTAAATAATTTGTGTGCATTGAAAATTATCGTACATAAAAATTATCTTGTTACCGAAAATCTTAACTATCCATTCACGTTTGTGTGGAGGTTTCACTACAACTAATTTCCGTCTTAACTAAT